TTAAGTTCGGAAGTCTAAGTTCAGGTAGCTCCATCTGTGGCCCTGGTGGAAGGGGTAATAGCCACATGCAGAGGGAGCCAAGCAAGCACTTGGAGTGGCTTGCTTTATAACAAACCACTCTTGAAAGACCTCTGTCAGGTCATCACATCAGTCCCTTCCAAGGTAGTGCAGTAGGCTCCATATCTCAAAGTTTTTTCAACACTGGGGACCAACATTCCAGTACATGAACCTTTGAGGGAAGCTCTCAGCCACATCCATGCCATAGCGTCCTAGAACGTCTAAACCCTACTAACCCCTCTAGCATTCTTGGAGAGAATCTCAGCTTCACTCTGTTCCAAACCCACTAGGCTTCTCTCCTCCATTAGAACAAATGCCATCCCCCAGCTCTTGACTTACGCAGCTCCCCTTTCCCTGAGTCCCTTCTGCCCTCCGAACTATTACTCATCCTTTATTTCCTTCTCAAGAAAGCCATTTCACAACTCTTGAACTAAGATAAAACCCCGGGCATATGCTCCAAGGGCATTACTACTTTTTCACTATACTTTTACCTCTTTATTGATAATCATGTATATGTTTCCACCCTCTTCATGACAAGGTTTGTGAAGCAAGAGGTATTTATTTTGTTCACCACTCTCCTCCCAGAGCCCACTGTAGAGGAAATCCTCATATATTTGCTGACAAAGTGAGCAAATAAAAACAGGATCTAAAAATACTAAATATAACAGCAGCACATTGAGTTTAATTAGATACTAAAAATAATAAATACATCATGTTTGTATAGAGCTTATTTTAGGAATTAAAGAGTAGTTTAGTATTTGAAAGTGTATCATTGCATAATACAACTCATTAATATATCAAAGAAGAAATTATCTCCATCCAGGGAAAAATTAGATGAAATTCAACAGACCTACCAATTAAAAAAAAAAAAAGCCTGTTAGTAAACAAGAACATTATGGCTTTAACAAAATAAATACCTGAAACTAATATTTTACCTAACAGAAACTCAAGAAACAAGGGCACTCTTTACCATTACTAATAGTCAACATTTTTCTAGAAATATTAGATGAGACAAGTCTAAAATATAAACAAAAAAATGACACAGTTGCACGTAGGTTATGACTATCTGAACATCCAAGATAATTAACTGAAAAATTTTGGTAAGCAATTTCAATAATGTGGTCAGCTACAAATACATGAATATATATTATTAAAAATGTACTTAATGCAGAATTGGAATAAGAACTGGCTTAAGAATCAGTGTACTAGAATAAATACTGGAGAGCTATATTTAAATTTTTTCCATATAAGAAATTACTATGAGAATGAACATTGGAGAAGAATAGATTATCCTAAAAATTGTTTTAGGGTACTATGGACAAATATACCCAAAAGGAAAATATGAAATTAAAAAATTTAAATCTAATTCATCTGAAATTTAACAAATGAATCAAATCCATGACAGTTCAGATGAAAACATACAAGTACAGTTGTGTATGTATAATGTATGGAGTTAGGGAAGACTTTCTAATCTGCATGAATCCTAAGAGCAAAACATTTAAAATTTATATTGTATATAAAGGTAAATTTCAAGTGATAAAGGATGAGCACACTCAAGAGGTAATAAAACAGATGACTATTTTTAATTTAATATTTAGAAATCAGTAAGACAGTATAAAAGCAAGAGATTACAAAAGATATGCAAATAGTAAATGAAAATATGAATGTTTCAAATTTTAGCAGTCACTAAAGATATAAAAATTAAAATATTCTGCCTATGAGATTAAAAATATTTTAAAGTATTTTTTATACCAATAGTATAGGGACATATACCATTTAAATGCAAATGATATACGCATAAATTGCCTAGCTTTCTTAGATGTCATATAATAAAATGCCTTAGCATACAAATTTCTTAAGGAAATCTATCCCAAGAAAACATTAAACAATGTTGCAGAAGTGAGTGATTTTAACATAGTTTTAAAAATAATACTGAACCAAAAAAAAAAGGGGCCAGGGATTTAGCTCAGTGGTTCCGCAGCCTGCCTCGCCAAGTGCAAGGTACCAAATTAGATCCCCGGTTCCAAAAAATAAATAAATAAAAAGTAAAAATAAAAATAATACTGAGAGGGCTGGGGATTTAGCTCAGTGGTTCCGCAGCCTGCCTCACAAGCGCAAGGTCCTGAGTTTGATCCCCAGTATCCCAAAAAATAAATAAAAATTTAAAAAATGATTATACTGAGAAATAATAATCAGCAATAGGTGACTGAATAATTTGATACATTCATGTAACAGAGTACTCATATAGACTTTAAAATATTCTGTATTTACAAATTGGAGATATATTTGACATCTAAAGTTGTACATAAGTAGAAAAAAAGTAAGTAGAAAAGATAGTACAAACAACTTTCTAAGGACATTCAACAAAATGATAACATAATTGTTACCTCCTACAAAAATTATGTATTTCTCCCATTTTGTATTTTTCCTTCTGTTAGCAATCTCTGATGGAAAATGAAATTCTTTACAAAAATAGTTCAAATAGGGGATGCAAAGGAAGTGATACCAGATGATTTTCATATGTTACTTACTGTTGTGATTGTTTTATGTATATTGAGTACTGTGAGATTCTAGGTTTTCTTTTTTTAAATGTTTAAAATTTCTATTAGTCCCCCAGTATATAATGATTACACTCATTGTGGGGAGCTGGTACACAACATAACATAACACATAGTAAGACTTTTTACTTCTTCTCCCCCTTCTCTCCCTTTATATCTTGGAAATCTTAAAGTTTTTAAGTACTGGAAAGATTAGACCTTAGAACTCAAAATTCGATCCATAGACCACCTCCCTCAGGACCGATTCTCTCATAATCATGTTGAGACTCCATTTTCTTTGTTTCCACTTTTTAACTTTCCTAAAATCACTAGATGTGGGACCTAGGACTGGCATTTTAAATAAACTCCTAAGGAGATTTTTTATAGTTGTGGTATTTGTGAACCTTTGTGATTTCCCTTAGAAATCTAGAGGGCAGACATGGTTTTATTTGCTTCGGTGCTGGGGGGAGAGGTGGATCTTGCATGCTAGGGAAGCACTCTACCACTGAGCTACATCCCCAGATCCTTTACATTTTTGAGACAGGCTTGGTTCAGTAAGTTTCCCAGGGTGACCTCAGTTGTGTGACCCTCCTGTCTCAGCCTCCTGAGTAGCTGGGATTACAGGTGTGCACTAGCCCCGTGCCTGACTTCCAGGTTCATGCACAGAGAAGAGGCTGTTCAGTTTTTATAGCAGCAGTGTAAGTGAAGTTTTCTTTTTCTGTGTTTTGGCTTACTTCATTATCTATTGTATTTGTACCTATAGTTAATTCTACTTTGACCTTTTATTAATTTGAAGTTTTTGCTCAATCAGTATTACTTTGTTATAATATCATCTCATTTTATACAGATTGCCCTCTGAGTGGCCCTCTGTATCAATGGCCAGTCTGCATCAATGGACATCTGACTTTCAATTGAAAACATTCAGAAAATAAAAATTGTGTCCGTACTGAATATGAATAAACTTTTTTCTTGTCATTATTTCCTACATAATACAGCATAATGACTTTTAACATACTGTTAGGCAAAAAGTTAGTCATCGGCAGCCCTAGAGATAGGTGATTGGGGGCTAACTGAAAAGTCAAGATGACATGATTTTTTCTCCTTCACTTTCTTGAATCATTAACTATAGATAAGGTTCCACTCAAACTCGTGTTTTTAAACTTTAAGTTCAGGGAATACAACATCCTCTAACTGTGCTGATAAGGTCCATGGCTCGAGTAAAGTCCACATCATGAACGAAGGCTTTGAAAGACCTCAGAACAAATTGAAAGAGACACACCCACCTACAGAGAAATACACAGGGACCTACTGCTCTTTGAAATAGGGAAATGCAATCCGTTTTATTTGTATAAGAACAATGACTTTGGAGGAAGGACAGATATTCCTTGAAAGACCCAGTTCATCATATTAATGGACGAGCTTAATGGCCTATCCCTGTAATCCCAGCACTTGGAAGACTGAGGAAGGAAGACAGCTGAGGATCACCACGAGTTCAAGGATAAAAAAAAAAAAAAAAAAAAAATCACATAAATGTAACCTGAGACCTCATTCAGTACAACTGTCATTTTCTCACTTGCCCCTCATGTTTGAAGTTTTATTTTCTCCCTCTGTCTCTGAAAAATCTATCATTTTGAAAAAAAAAAAAAAAAAATCTACCTATACTCTATATGATGGTCTATGTGCCTTGTCCGAGATCACTTGACAAAGACACAAAGAACCAAGGTAGGTTGCCAGTTCCTTGTGGTGCAGCACCTTGCTGTGTTAGAATTCCACTTCTAGTAGCAATACTGGAATATATTAGGTATGATCTAGAGATAACTTAAAGCACACTGGAGCTGAACATAGGTTATATGTATATTCCATGCCACTTCCTATAATGGCTTTGAATATCTGTGGATTTTGTTATCTTCAGGGGACCCTGGAGACAGTGCCCCATGGATACTCAGGGGTGGCTGTATTATACCTTGGTAACACTTGATACTGAGGGGTTTGTTATTTTCTATGGCAGTCACTTTTTAATCTCCATTTAGAGTAGATGCAAGTAGCAAAATGTCACTCAACAAATCAACTTTTTCAAAGCTGAAAAGCTACTCGAAATTACTGTAAGCTACTCGAAATTAGAGACTGTGAAGGGTCAATTATCTAAACCAGTCCTGATGCAGAATATAAGAGGGAAAATGGCAGTGTAGGTACTCTTCAGAATCATTTTCCTGGTGACTTTAAGCATCTGTCACACAAAAGAACAGTTCTTTCTCCCTCAGATCCATGAAGGAAATTCCATCTAGCTTCCACAGTGATAGGTTCCAATACACCTTTTCTTAAAGATACGATATTTTCCCTCCTAATGCTACTATTCTCCCTGAAATACACCCCCATATCCCCCGTAAATCCCCATCCCAGCCTTACCGGCATGGTGATCTGGATGGGTTGTCGTTCTCCACTCTTAGTCGGGGCCACACCTTCTGTGTCGTATGTGCCCGTGTAAACAACTCTATCTCCTTCAGGTTCTTTACACTTCAGCTCCAGTGGGACAAGCACACCACCAATGGAAATATTCCTGCAAACGGACTTTATTTGACCATATCTGGTAGGGATTAGCTTGGGTGCCTATCCTGGTTTGGACCATAACTCTAGGCTGGAAACCTACAAGGGTTTGGGTAAGGGAGACATTGTGGTAAGGTAGAAAGTTCTGAAAGTTCAGGAGGATAGAGTACTACAACTAACCAGTCACGTGACCATTCCAACTACTTCATCTCTTTGTACAGACCTAAGTATTCTCACCTAAAATACCTGTGCAAGGCTGAGGTGGATGCTATCAGTGTTTCTCCTCTTTATTCAGCAAAATCATCTGTGGAGCTACTAAAAATTGACCTATACCCAGTTCCATCTCAAACTCCAGAGACCAGGATTCACTGGTCTGGGATGCAGTTTGGCACTAGTAAATTTATTTTAAATGTAAAGGTAAGATCAAGAACCAGTGATTAGCTCTCTAGTGACTTTGTTTTTCTGTTTCAATAATTACAGGTTCTATGTTTGGATGGTACTCTTCTTCAAGTGTGTCACACCACCAGAAATTCTCACTGGCATCATTCCTCTTTTAGATTAATTGTTCTTACTGCAAAGTCTCTGAACCAGCAGTATCAGCCACACCTATCAGGACATAAACCCTTAGGCCTCAAACTAGGCATAGGAAACTAGAAACTCTTACTTGGGGCCACACCTTCTGTGTTGTATGTGTTGTATGGATTCAGAATCCTCTTCGCACGCAGTACATGGTAGATGCCATAAATGTTGGTTTATTTTCTCCTTCAGACCCACCCGTGGATTTCCCCCCTACCTCTACAGGCTACTGTATCGTTCCTCACTGACTTTCTTGCCAGGGGTTTACGGGTGCATCATCTCCTGGAGTTGGGAAGAGGTAATCCCTACCACTAATAAACCAAAAACAGCCTCTTGTGTGGGAGGATGCTGTTAATCCCAGGCAACATCGCTAGACCGAACAGACAACTGGAACAGAAAAGAAAAGTCGAGGAGACAGAAAATTGTGAAACTAGGCCTGAGCTGAGGCCACGCCCTCTGACTTGTGCCTGCAGCTCCAGCCCGGAGTCCCCTACCTCCTAAGGGCTAAGGAAGATGGAGACATCCCTCAGGGAGCCCCTAAAACCACCCATCCCCCGCCTTTACACCTCATTCCTTATTTCCTCCTTCAGCCTTGCAGGTAGAAGCGGATGCCAGGACAGAGCCAGGAGGGCTGGTACTGCGGTAGGGAACCCCGCGGCGACCTTCTCCCATCTGCCCCCACCCCAACCAGCTGCGTTTCCGAGCCTTGGCAGAACGGGAAGGAAATTTACAAGACCCCCCCCCTCCCCGCCCCGCTTCTAGTAGCTGGTTTAAACGGACCCACTCAGGTCACTGCGATGGTGGAGGAAGGGGCAGCAGAGCAGTACAAACATACGACAGGAGAGGACCAAGCGGTACTGGGAGCTCCCTCCCCGCCGCGCCCCGGCCCGGGCCCCATCGCCCCCTCCCGCAACCACGGCGTGCCCCGGACTCACTCGACCTGCAGCGTGGTGGGCTTGATCTTCACCTCCACCTTGTACGAGGAGCCGGTGAGCAGCTTGATGGTGCGGTTCTGGCCGAAGCGCTGCCCATCCACCTTGTAAAAGACCGGGCCGTCGTTGGGCTGGATGCGCAATGCGATGGAAAGGCGCACGAGGCCCGGCAGGTCCCCCATGGCTGGGCGAGGGGCTGGCACGGCGGCTCCGCGGGGCGCAGGACA